TGGATAAGAAGTAATCTATAAAAGAGAATGAGAAGGTATAGCCTGAGAGATAGGAGAAAAGCTGGGGGGTGTGGTGTGTTATGAACCCCAAGGGAGGGAAACCTGCCGACAAGGAAATTCTCATCACCTGGTCCAGGGCTGCTAATAGGTGAAATGAGATGAGGACAGAAAAGCATGTGTGGTCCGTGGCACTGTTCACCTCAGTGGGGGTCAGACTGGAGTCCTTGCAGGGAGAGGGGAAGGGAGGAAGTAGAAGACAGTGAGGTCAACAAAATTTTTTTTTTAATTATTTTTACTAACATATAATGTATTATTTGTCCCCATGGGTGCAGGTCTGTGAATCATCAGGCTTACACACTTCACCGCACTCACCACAGCACATACCCTCTCCAATGTCCATCACCCAGCCACCCTATCCCTCCCCCTCCCAGCAACCCTCAGTTTTGTTGAGATTAACATCTCTTATGGTTTGTCTCCCTCCCAATCCCATCTTGTTTCATTTTTGCCTTCCCTACCCCCGAAACTCCTCATATCCTCAGATTCCTCATATCAGGGAGATCATATGATAATTGTATTTCTCTGATTGACTTATTTCACTTAGCATAATACCCTCTAATTCCATCCACATTGTTGCAAATGGCAAGATTTCATTTCTTTTGATGGCTGCATAGTATTCCATTGTACATATATACCTCATCTTCTTTATCCATTCATCTGTTGATGGACATCTAGGTTCTTTCCATAGTTTGGCTATTGTGGACATTGCTGCTATAAACATTTGGGTGCACGTGTCCCTTTCTCCAGCTCCTTTAGGTGTAGGGTTAGGTTGTGTACTTGAGACCTTTCTTGTTTCTTGAGAAAGTCTTGTATTGCTATATACTTTCCACTCAGGACCACCTTTGCTGTGTTCCACAGATTTTGAACTGTTGTGTTTTCATTTTCATTTGTTTCCGTGAAATTTTTCAATTCTTCTTTAATTTCCTGGTTGACCCATTCATTCTTTAGTAGGATGCTCTTTAGCCTCCATGTATTTGAGTTCTTTCCCACTTTCCTCTTGTGGTTGAGTTCTAGCTTCACAGCACTGTGGTCTGAAAATATGCAGGGAATGATCCCAATTTTTTGGTACCAGTTGAGACCTGATTTGTGACCCAGGATGTCATTTATTCTGGAGAATGTTCCACGTGCCCTAGAGAAGAATGTGTATTCTGTTGCTTTGCAGTGGAATGTTCTGAATATATCTGTGATGCCCATCTGGTCCAGTGTGTCATTTAAGGCCTTTTATTCCCTTGCTGATCTTTTGCTTGGATGATCTGTCCATTTATAGTGAGGGTGGTGTTAAAGTCCCCAACTATTACTGTATTATTGTTGATATGTTTCTTTGATTTTGTTCTTAATTGGTTTCTATAGTTGGCTGCTCCCACGTTAGGGGCATAGATATTTAAAATTATTAGATCTTCTTGTTGGGCAGACCCTTTGAGTATGATCTAGTGTCCTTCCTCATCTCTTATTGTTGTCTTTGGCTTAAAATCTAATTTATCTCATACAAGGATGGTCACCCCAGCTTTCTTTTGATGTCCATTAGCATGGTAAATTGTTTTCCACCCCCCCACTTTAAATCTGGGGGTGTCTTTGGGCCTAAAATATGATGGATTTTGGTTTTTTATCCATTCTGATACCCTGTGTCTTTTGATTGGGGCATTTAGCCCATTTACATTCAGGGTAACTATTGAGAGATATTAATTTAGTGCCATTGTATTGCCTGTAAGGGGACTGTTACTGTGTATTGTCTCTGTTCCTTTGCAGTCTACTACTTTTAGGCTCTCTCTTTAGGACCCCTTTCAATATTTCCTATAGGGCTGTTCTGGTGTTTGCAAATTCTTTAATTTTTTGTTTGTCCTGGAAGCTTTTTAATCTCTCTTTTTTATTTTTTTAATCTCTCCTATTTTCAATGATAGCCTAGCTGGATATAGTATTCTTGGCTGCATATTTTTCTCATTTAGTGCTCTGACTATATCATGCCAGTTCTTTCTGGCCTGCATGGTCTCTGTGGATAAGTCTGCTGCCAATCTAATATTTCTACCATTGTATGTTACAGATTTCTTGTCCTGAGATGCTTTCAGGATTTTCTCTTTGTCACTAAGAATTGTAAGTTTTACTATTAGATGATGGGGTGTGGACCTATTTTTATTGATTTTGAGGGGGGGTTCTCTGTGCCTCCTGGATTTTGATGCTTGTTCCCTTTACCATATTAGGGAAATTCTCTACTATAATTTGCTCCAGTATACTCCAATATTATTATTCTTCTGGAATCCCAGTTATTCTAATATTGTTTCATCTTATGGTATCTCTTCTTTCTCGAATTCTCCCCTTGTGGTCCAGTAGTATTTTGTCTCTCTTTTGCTCAGCTACTTTATTCTCCGTCATTTGGTCTTCTATATTTCAACAAAATTTTTTGAGAAGCTGTAAATGGAAAGCAGAGAAATATGGTCTAGCTGATGGAGAATGTGAGACGGAGAGAAGGCTATTTGTTTTCATGAGATGGGAACCCTTAGAGCATGACTATATTTTGGTAGAATTTTATTCTGAAGAATATGTATTTGATTGGCCCTGAGCAAGCATAGTGAGGTTCAAGGAAGACAAATGAATTTCTGGAACAATCCAGAGCAGTTGAGCTGTCCTCCGTGAGTTCATCTAGGGGCCCAGGTTGGAAGGGGTGGCGTTGGCATCCTTCTGAATTTGGGGCCTCCATGACTGAGTCTGTGGTGACCAGGTCGGTCATTTTTTTCCTAGCCAATGAGAAAAGGAAACCTTGGGCATGTGCCCTTGCCTTTATGAAGATGACCTAAAAACTGCAGACATATTCTCTCTTTTCTCATTGGTCCAGACCTCATCACCTGACCTCAGCTTGCTGTGGTCTCAAGCTGGGTGAAGGAATACCAGCTAAAACAATGTTTAATTACAATAAGGAAGATGGAGAAAATGTATTGAGAAGAGTCCATTTCTTCCACTCCTTGGGGTGAGGAGGGGGGTTGGATTAAAATATATTTACTTCTGTTTTGGAGCACCTGGGTGGCTCAGTTGCTTAAGCAACTGCCTTTGGCTCAGGTCATGATTTCAAGGTCCTGGGACCATGTCCTGCATCAGGCTCCCTGTTCAGTGGGGAGCCTGCTTCTCCCTCTTCTACTCTCCCTCCCTGTGCTGTCTCTGTTAAATAAATAAAATCTTAAAAAAAAAAAACTTAAATACATATTTATTTCTGTTTCTAAACCATGGGCAGTGCTTCACTTATATTTGGCACTTAATTGAGAGTTCAGCAAATTGAATTGACTATTAAAATTGACCCTCTCCCTTCTAAAAGGTTGAATTTGATTGTAGGCTCTGGATTACACCATAACACCACCTTTCCTTCTCTCTGTTTTTTCTGTGGACTTAACGCTTTCTAGTAAAAGCATACGAAAGGGAATATAATATTTACTTTGAAGATTTGCTTAAAAATCTAAAACATAAAAGGAAAAAAGAAAATGTGTTCGTTTTATTTGGATCACTATCTTGTTCAGTGTTTGGTCTTGATATTTACATATGCTTTGGGCAGCTGAGCACATGCCAAGTTGATATGTCTTTTAGTCAACAGAAAGGATGGCTGGTGATTGTAAATAGGATTATAGGTTGGAAACATGGATGTAGCATTTAGCTTATGATATAGATTGGTATGTGTATGTTCCCTCTTCTTGAAGTTATTAAACATTCTCCACGCATGTTGCAAAAACAGAACTAAATGGTGATTTTGCTATGGAGTAGTATTTTGCATCATTCCGTATTATACTAACGGTTGTATCATTTGCTTAGAGTGTTACACTAGCCCTTTGTTCTTGATATTTTTACCATAAAATTAGGAAGGGAAATCATATGACAGTCTGGGATATTTGTTTTTGAAATAGTTACCATCTATCTACCCAAGCTAAGAAATTACTTAAAATGACATGGTAGCCACCGGCACAGCTCCTGTCTTGCTGTTTTTTAGCAAAAAAAAAACTGCTATAAGCATAGTGGCATGCCCATTAAGAGGGGGAGGAAGGAGCTCCCAGGAAGTAAGTTCTTTGGTTATGGTCCGGTTCCATTCCCTCATTTGACATATATGGAAACTAAGGCACAAAATACCGAAGTGTCTTGACTAGCAAACTATTACAAGATGGTGGTTCTATTTGAGAAGGTATTTTCAGGTGTAAGAAAAGATTATTATATATTAAGCTATGTCATGTGAATCCTTCATGAGCTGATACAAACTCCTCTTTGAACTGTCAGGGGAAACAGGAAGAAGTCAGGAAGAAGCTGTGACTTTTCACTGGTGAAGGAGGGAGAGGTGAGGCTCCCAGCCTCCCTGCAGCCACGCCCAGGGCTTGTCCAGTGTGGGACCCATTCCACGTCACCAGTGAAGCCTCTGTTGTCTTTGTCACTGTTCACTCAAAAAGGGCGGGCAGGATTCTGAGAAAGCAGAGGAAGGGCGCTTGCTCATGGAAGGATGGCTGGTTTCGGGTTCCGGAGGCAGAGCAGGGGCTCTGGGTAGAGATAGGAAGGGAGAGGGAAAGGGAAAGAATATCCATTTCTGTTATTAGATTATCCTTCCCAGATATCGATCCAGCTGATGCAGAAGATTCATTTTTCTGAAATTAAATGTGTCTAAGATAATGTAGTTATTAGGCCATTACTTTAAAGTCATTTTCTTGCCATCTGTAGCAAAAATCTAACAGGAGTAAAACCTGGGATCATTAAAAATAAGTGTTGACTTCTAGTTAAATGTTGATTTTTGAACCATCTTTGCAGTAAATGGACATTATCTATTAGGGTTGTGTAATAGGAAGGATCCTGTTGGATTGCGTGTACGTTTCCCTTTTTTGACTGTGGTTCTGTGCAGCATTTCCCCGTAGCATCCTGGTTTTGTGCCTAGTTTTTGTGAAGGTGATTACACCAAGTGATGGGACCTTGCCATTTTTTGTTTGCAGAACAATCAACCATGACGACCGAATCTGGCTCAGACTCGGAATCCAAGCCGGAGCAGGAGGCCGAGCCCCAGGAGGCGGCGGGGGCGCAGGGGAACGCGGGGGCGCTGCAGGGGCCAGGGCCCGAACCCAGCGGCGAGGAGCAGCACCAGGCCCTAGAGCAGTTCCAGGCCGCGGCACACAGCACCCCGGTGAGGAAGGAGGTGAGCCCCGGGACCCAGGCTGCCAACCCGGTCCCTCGCACCTGCTGGCATCACCCAGCAAACCACTTCAGGAATGTTTACTGGCCTTTGCTAGGGTCTGGGCTGACCTTGGTCTCCTAGCACTAGGGGGAACTATGAGGGGTCATCTGTTTTCCCCTTCTGGTCCCAGGCAGATGGAAATTTATGCTGTTTTAAGACTTTCAGTGAATGACATTCCACAACCTTGCTTGGTAACGCCTTCATTTGATTAAAGCACTTAAACCCACACTGAAATGTGGGTGGCAGGTTATTGGTTTTATCTGGGTTTACAGGAAGGTTAGACACCACGCCAATGGCTTTAATTAGCCTCCTAATCTTATTCAGGCTGGGGTTTGAGCTCTTTTGATTCTTCCCAGGGGTCACTCTGATCCTGATGTTGCCAGCTACTTTGAGTGAGTGTTCAGGGGGTCTCCTTTCCCTCCCTCATGTGCCTGTGTGTTCAACTCTATGATTGAGTCATCGTTAAGTTGTCACAGGTAATGTGACTACTTCTTTTGGAAGCTTTCATACCAAATAGTGTGGCTTATACTTGGGCTTTGAATGAATCCATATTTAAAGTATTTTGGCTTGAAACGTCAAACCTGAAATCAACATGTGTCAGGGTACCCACTCATGCTATAGTAAGCAAATCTGGGAGTCCCTGCAAATGATTGACCTTTTTCTAAGTTGGAAGTATATGTGTCAAGCTAGAAATTATAGAAGACGTTGAGAGAAGAGACATGAAATCAGCATGTTAGTGAAATTCTTTGGAAGGCACAACACAGTATTATAACATTAAACTACGCTTACAACCTGATTATTTCTTTTCCCCCTGGTATTTATGTTCTGCTTTTAAGCAGTATTAAAAATAACATTTATTTTCATGTTCTGTAGATAGATGCTGTGTCTGATCTAAAATGTTTCATGATGGGGAGCTGGAGGTTACCCTTCCAACTTACTAAACAAAATCTAAGGAGCCGTTGTCATCATGGTTTTCCTTTACTGTTTCTTTTCTTTCCTCCTTTCTTTCTTTTTTCTTTTTTTTTTTTTTTTTTTGAGATGAGAGGATGGTGGTGTTTTGATTGTTTTTAAACCTTCAGAAACTTAAAATTACTAGGCTGGGTATTTTTTCCTCCCCGTTCTTTCCTCTTAACTCTGAAATGAAATAATGTGAGAGTGGGAGATAATTGTTCAGAAGAAAGAATTTCTGGGCCAAGATGTGATACATGTATTTTATTTTCTGGAAGTCAGATATCTGAAACAAAATGAGAGAAATGATACTAAAGCACTTTGAGGGGAAGGTAACTGGCTGAGGAGTCAGTAGGATCAGTGATTCCTGCCTCTTCTCCGGGTATTTTAGTTATCTCAGAGATCTCAGAGAACATGATCAGCCTCTGAGCCTCCGCTTCCTCGTTCACAAGATGAAATGATCAGAAAAGACCGTTTTCTCAGGGTTTTCTGCTCTCAGCTTCTTTGATTCATACTAGGATCCCAGTTATGCTGGAGGTGAAGTACATTTTGGTAGTCCGTGACGATGAAAACATGGGCTTGGCCACATTTGAATTCCAGGCTATCAGTTTTATGGGGGAATTGTGGAGACTGTGCCCTTGCCCTTTTCTCTCAAATGAGGGTGAGGAGACTTGGATATCTACCTCCCAGAGCTGTCATGAGGATTCCGTGGAACAGAGGAGTTGCCAAAAGCGTTGATATTGATATTTTTAAATTGTAATGAATTATATGTGACCGTAGTGGATGTTTCATTTGAGGTCCTTGGTCTCCTCAAGTTGAAAATAGGTGCATGAGAGGCTCAGTGATGGGTTTGTGCTTTAAGCGTTTTTGGAAACAACACCTCCCTTTGAATGTTGGTGGTTTCAGGGGTGTCTGGAGTTGACCTAAAATTAGCCCAGAAAGCTTTGTCTCATACAGATTTTATTAGAGGAAAAATGAAATTTCATCTTCCCCGGTACAGAGAAAAAGTTGATTCCAGGTAGTGAGGTTTAAATAAAAACATAGCTTCTGTTGACTTTGGCTGGGATGAGATGAAAATGTGAATTAAAAGTGCAGAAATCTTGGGATGCCTGGGTGGCACAGTTGATAAAACATCTGACTCTTGGTTTCAGCTAAGGTCATGCTCTTAGGGTCCTGAGATCGAGCCCCCCCACGCCCCCAGTCTTGGAGCTTAAGATTCTCTCTCTCCTTCCGCCCTTCCCAACTCATGCTCGCTCTTTCTCTCTCTCTCTCTCTAATATAAATAAACCTTAAAAAAAAGTGCTAAAGTCCTATGAAAGTTAGAAGCACTTAGCAAATATATGATATAAAATTCCAAGGTTTTGTGGTACCTGGGTAGCTCAGGTAAGCTGCCGACTCTAGATTTCGGCTCAGGTCATGATGTCAGGGTCGTGAGATTGAGTTCTGTGTCTAGTTCTGCCCTCGGAAGGGAATTGGCTTGAGATTCTTTCTCCTTCCGCCCCTCCCCCCAAGCTTGTTCTTGCTTGCTCTCTCTCTCTCTAAGTAAAATAAAGAAATCTTAAGGAAAAAAAAATTCCAAGGTTACCAAACTTCTTCAACTAGCTTAAGGCCAAAATTGTTTGACTTTTTTGCAGCACTATTTTAATATTTGGATATGAAAGACTAATAGTCACCACCACCCCACCACCCCCAAAAAAAGTTGGACCAAGTTGGTAGAGCAGGTTTTCTTTTATTTACTTGTTTTAGCTACCTCTAGCCTTCTCAACTATTCTGGCCTTTGAAGTTGTTTTTTCAATTCCTTTTCATGGTCTCTTCACTCAGCAAATTGGTCTTTTTATTCTGAAGAACTTCTTACAACTTTGCTCTGAATTCCTGTGTAACGTAGTGGAGGAAGGGATTGTATTTATAATCTAAAGGGAAAACCAGATAGAAAATGCCTTTATAAGCACAGAAATCCATACCTAAAATCCAAAATAAATATATACCAGAAGATAATTTTGTGATTAGAGCATCATAAAATTGTAGCCACTAATAAGAAAAAAAAGTTGAAGTGATAAACCTAAGTAAACGTTTATTGTCAAGATCTTGTGCTTTTAGCTACTAGGAGGATAGTATGTTTATGAGAGAAGAAAATTCAAGCTCACTCAAGGGGCGTAAACTGAATTTCACAACATGTCTTTCTTTGGTCTGTCAGTGTTCATTTGCAGACTAGTGGAAATCATAGTCTGGCCCATGAGTTGAATTTGCACATTAATACCAATGGTGGTTATTTAATAGAAGAGAGTATTGTATGGTGACAGATGCTAGCTACACTTGTGGTGAGCACAACATATAATGCATAGGGTGTTTAATCACTATTTTGTACAAGTGACACTATTTGTAATGTTCTGTCAATTTTACTTAATGTAATACGTGTATGTAAACAGACATAGATTAAAGAAGGGAGGTGTAAAGACGATAGTTGCACAGAGAGATTTCCAAGCGTATTTATTGATTCAGGGGAGAATTTAACTATTCCTTAGGACATCGTCTGCGGTTCTGAGTCTAGCCTGGACTACATTATTGTGCTTTGAAAGCAGATTAAAGCTTTTGGACAGATTTGATCTGCTCTTACACTGGCTCATTACAGTGACGGGGGAAACAGACAAAGGAGGATTACTTTGTGATGAATTTCAGTGCTGCTGGCTTCATTGAATTGATTTAGAGCTGAATCAAATATTTTAATAGTTGTAAAATTACCGAGAAGATTAATACTTGTAGCTCTCCAGGCCTTCAAGTTTATCAGATCTCTTCTATGTATATGGAGTGATGTGGGTCATAGAATATAGAAGGATCCAGTGAATGAAGGAAATAGAGTGCAGTGGATAAAATCTAAATGATTTAAAGACTGTACCGGCTAATAGTGCCTTTTTAAAAAGTCAAGAGTCCATTTGTATCCCCCTTTGCTTAGTGAAGTGTTAATGGCATTTGCTAACTCCGTGCTTCTAAATAAAACCCTCAAGTCAAACTGAAATGAAGCCCCACTGGTAGATTTAAATGGAAAAAGTTATTTAGGTGAAAGCATTAGCATGATAAATATCCCTGTATATGTAAATGTCTATTCACAGTCTCCTGATCTCGACATCTCTCCTGCTCTGGGAATTAGGAAAGTCTATGTCTACAGGGTTCTGCTCTTGCCCAAGCAGTGCAGTGTTTATTTCCTGTCTTGCAGTGAACTCTGTTCATTGTTGGCTCTTCACAGGTCACTGACAAGGAACGGGAGTTTGCTGCTGGGGCTGCGAAACAGCTCGAATATCAGCAACTGGAAGACGATAAACTTTCTCAGAAGTCATCTAGCAGTAAGCTATCTCGATCTCCATTAAAGATTGTCAAAAAGCCTAAAAGCATGCAGTGCAAAGTGATACTTCTGGATGGGTCAGAATACACCTGTGATGTGGAGGTGAGTGCATATTTAAATTTTTTTTTTTTGGGGGGGGGTCCAAATATTGAGAACTGGAGAATGTTGGTATGAGACATAGAAGATGCATTCTTGTTTTCAGAAACCTGGAAAGTTACTCAGTCCCAGTTTTTCAATACAAAATTCTTCCCAGAGTCTCTAATAGGAAATCAAATTACTGAAAGAACTTACAACATCTACGAAATGGTACAATCAAAAGAAAAATCTTAATTAAAAAAAAAATTTGCAACACTTCCCATGGTAGGAAAAAAAATGGGGGCCTTCAAAAATCAAGTTTTTCTTTAATATCTTATGAGCTATCATTTAAATGAATTTACTTTTTCTACTTGAGTAGTTTTACTTCTTCTATTCAGATAATTTCATTTTTCTATTTTAAGTTAATAATATCTTTTGTACTTGCATCATTGCAACTTTTAATTGGTAGGAACTTGTAAATTTCTGTACATAGCATTGGTAGATTGGTAGGATCATTTGAACCGTGAATGTCCTCCTCTTAGAGTCATTTTTTAAATGTACATCGCATACAGCCTGAGTGTAAAAGGGTCTACTATCCTTTGTTCTTTTGCAAAGAATGCGAAAATCCCTCTCCGAGGAGCAGTTGAATGAATTTTATCAGAGATGGTTAGCACAGCCAGGTTAACAGAGGAGAGCGACACAAACCCGTCCGTAGCAGTGGAGATGGGTGGCTTCTCCCTGTGTCACGGAGAACACATAAAGGACATGAACTGAAACCACAGGAGCGGGTCTGGGTGTGAGTGAGCCACAGAACCTTCTCCCCGTAGCTGGAAGGGGACAGCTTGCTCTTTCGGCAAGGTGATTTAGTTTCAGGTTGAACGTTTCCTTTTTCTTTTTATCATGTTCAGTTAGCCACTGTCTGGTATGTTTTTATCCCAAGAGCTTATGCCTCCCGCCTCAGCTGCCTGCCTGCCCTTGGCCATGCGGAGACGTCACACAGCCCTTCCCCCCAGCTCCTCCCATCACATGTCTACACAGGGCACTTCTTCTGCTCTGTGTGCTCGAGGCTCTCCCAGGCGCCACAGGCAGTGTACATGTGCCATCATGCCTTTCTAGCCCTCCGAAGACCCCGCCAGCCCCAAGCCCACCCGATTTCCCATGCTTCTCTCTCTTTTCTGCTTTCTCTGTCTACACTCCCTCCTCATTCCTGTTCTGTTTCACATAATACCCTCCTGCACCCAGTCCTTTTCTTGGATCATAAGATTCAAATCCATTTCATGTTGATTATGTCATTTATGGTAGGATGGGATTGGTTTACTAATTTGCAGGAACATAGAGGAAAAAAATTTTTGAAAAGAAATTCTTAGATCAAAAGTTACTGTATCGTATATTAATTGATAGAGTTGTTGTCTCCCTGTCACCTGACAAATACTGATGGGCTGTGGCATGGAGGGCAAAGCACGTTCCAAAGGTCCTGTCTAAGGTGTGCCATGCACAGATCCATCTTTGACTTTTTTTTTTTTTTTTTTTGGCTTTGACTTCGGTGGGTTTCTGACCTCAAAGTGTCCAGTTACTGATTGAGAGCTTTATTTTTGAAATTGGGAGATCCAGTAATGTACTCCCACCTGGGTTTTATTCTGAAGCTTAAAGGACTTTTGTAGCCACGCGAGAGATTGTACTTTGCCAGGGTAGATCCGCTTTCTGGAAAAATTGATTTAAGTGAAGCTTTTTTCTTAATTCTGAGACGAGTCTTTCTGTCAATTGTATTATTAATGGAATAAACGGGTTGACCTGGCCATTGTCTAGTCGTGGCTACCAGAGCTTTCTAAAGGAGAATCTAAAAGTTCATAGTGTTTCGTGTGGGGGAATAGATGCCTCAGGGCTGAGTGATGTACATGAAGTATTGATCATGTGGCTAAACTTAATTTACAGCCCAAGCTTCAAATGTATTAGGGATACAATCTGTGTTGTTGAGTTCAGAATTTTTATGTTGTAATTAATTTTGGATTCAATTCAGTGTTACTTTTAATGTCACTGTGAACATTTTGAGTGACATGGCAAGGTTGGTCAGTTATTTTATAATTTTTTTATAAAGTTGAGGTTTTTTTTTTAGATTTTTAATTTATTTACTTGACAGATAGAAATCACAAGTAGGCAGAGAGGCAGACAGAGATGGGGAGCGGGGGGGGGAAGCAGGCTCCCTACTGAGCAGAGAGCCCGATGTGGGACTCGATCCCAGGATCTTGGGATCATGACCTGAGCTGAAGGCAGAGGCTTAACCCACTGAGCCACCCAGGCGCCCCTGTTTTTTTTCTTTTTTTTAAGATTTTATTTATTTGAAAGAGAGAGCAAGAAAGTGAGCACAAGTGTGTGTGTGGAGTGGGAGGGCAGAGGGAGAGGGAGAAGCAGGCTTCCTGCTGAGCAGGGAGCCCAATACAGGGCTTGATCCCTGGACCCTAGGATCATGACCTGAGCTGAAGGGGGACGCTTAACTGACTGATCCACCAGGTGGCCCTGAAGTTGATAGATTCTTAAGAATTAACAGGGGCGCTTGGGTGGCTCAGTGGGTTAAGCCTCTGCCTTTGGCTCAGGTCATGATCTCAGGGTCCTGGGATCGAGTCCCACATCGGGCTCTCTGCTCAGTGGGGAGCCTGCTTCCCCCCTCTCTGTCTCTGTCTGCCTCTCTGCCTACTTGTGATCTCTGTCAAATAAATAAATGAAATCTTAAAAAAAAGAATTAAGAGTAATTCTCTTTTCTCTGGGACACAAAATCCTTGGCCAGCAGAATATTTTCAGTTTTACAACAGACATTGGTAGTAGAGGAAAATGTGATCACTACTGACTGACATACTTGTGGAGAAAACAGAGAAATTTGGGCACGTAAAGTGAAATGGATTTCTTTGTAGCTGACTGGTTGAAAAATGGATTGTGAATCAGCGATGTTCTCAAGGCGGCAACAAGATATAGCTGAAAACACATATTCAAAGTGACTGTTGATTTTAGACAGGAACTGGGGAACATAAAACCTTGGCTGGCAGGGTGCTTGGAGTATAGTAGGTAAATGGTGTTGAAAAACATTGCCCTAGGGAAGGTGTCCTTCAGTTTTGCTCTCCAGTATACAGAGTTTTCATCAACGTCTTGGATGAAGGCATACGCCTAACAAATAGCTGAACGATATTTTTAAGTGACTACCAGCCCTCGTGCCAGAATCCGGGTTTCTCATGAAGTGGACAGTGTGTGACATGGAAGCAAAGTAGCGAGATAACATTTAGTGGGAATGGAGGCCGAACTTCACTCTATAAGGATCACATGCAAAATAGAAACATGTTGGGGGAAAGGGTGGTCAGACTTAATAACAGTTTGGGTGAAACTAATCTTTGGGTTTAGGTCGATTACAGACTCAGCGTTAACCAGCGGTGTGGTGTAGCTGTCAGAAACTTCTGTGCCGTCCCTGTGGCTTGTGTGGAAGTGCAGCGTGTGGTTTCCCCAAACGTGGCCAGCGCCCAGCACCCACCCCAGCCGGCATCCCTGGCCTGAGAGATCCCATCCGCTGTATCTTGCTCTTTAATTCATACAGGATAGCACTCTTCAGAGCCCCTAGACACAAGTGTGAAAATAGATTTATCTACTTGTAACCCATGTGATTTCAAGGAATGTTAGCTTTCTGAAGCTCAGTTTCTTCAGAAAAAATGGGAGTGAAAATACTTGCCTCAAAAAGTAATTTTTGAGAAGATTAAAGCAGATGCTTAATTTGACTACTTTCTACAACATAGCATATTCTTAATAAGTGGTAGCTTTTTAATAATGGAAATAACCGTGAACTCTGACTTGAGCTTTTTCAGCAGAGAGTTGTAGGATGGTGAGGGATCTGGAAACCTCTTATGAAGAATGATTAGAGGTAGAATGTGTTGAATAAAGAAAACATTTTCACATGTCCCCTTCCAGATTTGGAGGGGACAGGATGGCTAATTCTAGTTATTTGGAAAAGTTGGCATGGAGTGTCTGTCATAACATACATAGTTTGCTTAAGGTATAGGAAGTAAAACTAAGGTAGAAGTTATGGGAGATCCAAGTTTTAAGTAAACAGAAAACAAATGTTTTGTATTATTGATGTCAGCCTTGTGAAAAGTGTTCTACAGGAGGATTCCAGCAGAAACTATAGGTGCATTTATGGAAGCCATCAGTCCCTCGGATGAGATCTCAGACTAGACAACTTCCAATGCCCCTTCCTAGTCTAAGATTCATGGAGAGAAAAGACTCAAACATCTGAACTGAAAAAACAGAAGTGCCTCCCTGATTCCTGTGCCTAACATGTACAGTGGTAGGTGAATGAAGAATGGAATGCAGGAGCCAGTAACATGTAACTTTTTTGCATTTAATCAGACATCCAAAAAAAAAGTAATCTCTGTACCTAAGTGTTTTCCCCCGTGGTCTATTTAATGCCTTCCTGGCTTTACCATCAAAATCAACAAGGCTCACCTCTGCCATGCCTTCATCATGAGAATATATAGTCACATGTAAAGGACCCCCTGTGGAGAGAGACACACACACACACACACACACACACACACACACACACACCCCTACCTTGGACTAGCGCAGCCCACTTATCTTTTCTTCTGAAACCACAAGGTAGCATTTCCCCTAGCCCCACGGTGCTGCCGTGGGACAGAGCCGGTCCCACTTCCAGAACCTGGAAAAGTGAGTTACAGGATTGGTTTGTTGCTCTCTGAGCACAATGACTGAATGCTTAAGTCTTCAGTTCCTGCCTCCTCATGTTTAGATAGACGCCTTTTCCAATTCGGCTGCATTTTTCCTACTTCCCTCCAGCAGTAGGCTTGGATCATTATGACATTCAGTGTTTTTCCATGTAACTATTCCCTCAGTAATTTTTTCCAACTCTTAAATCTTGATCATCTAAAGTATAAGAAAATTTCATTATGAGTAAAACAGAAGAAAAGATCTTCTTACAATAGAAGACCATCTTTTAAGCGCTTTGATCATAGATGTTTGGCCAGTGTTTACAT